GCACACACAGACACACACACATACACACTCTCTATCTCTCTTCTCTCACACACACACACACACACACACACACACACACACACACACACACACACACACACACACACACACACACACACACACGCACACAAAGCACACACACAAAGCACTGATGCTAAATCTATGCCACGCAGACAAAGAGCCACCACCCTGTTAGCATAGGGCTGCTTCTAATCAGAGAGAACAAAAGTAGACGGCTCTTACTGAGAGAATTCAGCCAAAATATGTCACCATGGACATATTTAATACTGGATGCAATATTTTTGAACTATTTTGTGTTATTCTTAGTTTTTTGGGCACTCAAAATGTTGTGGCTATTTCTAATGCACTAAACAAAGTTCCAGTATGCTGTCTTTATATAAAGAAACAATTACATTCCAGCTGAAAAACAGTAAACAACTACGGTTGAAGCCTTTTTTCTCTTTTCACTTGTCAAAATAAAACACCCAGAAGAGCACTCCAAAACATATGCTGAATTGGAAAACACATTTTCTTTGGATTGCACTAAAAAGCATTCAGGCACAGCAGACCCCTCCCTGCAGCAAAGCTTTGTTAGACACATCTCTCCTGGGACCCAAATGAGAAATGGAACTGAATAAGAAATGCGCCTCAGCTTGGAGAGAGACAGCAGAACATAGTTTAAGAAATATAATCCACTTGATGATAAAATTGCAGATGGGAGCTCTGCTGAGGGGGGATGAGAGGGGTTTTATATTTCTCAGAATCTGAATTCCCAGCACTTCTCTGGATCGCTACATCATTTCAGAGATCTTTGAAGATATTACAGATAGTAGTGAACATATCCTCTCCCACCTGGTAGTGCTTCCATTAAAGCAGAGCCCACAGTTCTATAATTACATTGATATCATCTCACATTCCACCCGTAAATGGACGAATCATGTACAGCCAAACCATCTGCTAATACATAGAGGGCTGCTGTATCCTACGCCACAGACATATAAGGCAGAGATATCATCTTACAGCAGTTTACCTGAATGTAATGCAGCCAACGCTGCTGTTATTATCCAAGTTTAGTCTGATGCATTCCTGGGAAATATAAATTTTTTTCTTTCTGTCGTCACAACACCACAACAAATGGTTGTGATACCACATGACATTTTTCTAAAAGTACAAGGTTTCACTGGAAATTAGCGAAAGTACATTTGTGGTCCTCATAGCTGCCAGGAACAGCCCATATGCAGCAGCAAGTATATTGACCACCAACCCCTAGATCCATAATGGTGTGGTGTAGATATCACTCTATCTATCCAGCACACCGATGGGAATGTAATAATGTCATTTAAGAACAACAACAGACCTCAGCATCAGCTTTCAAATCCATGATGGTGCAACAGATCTCATATCCTCATCACATGGGATGCATTTTCTATCCCCATTTGCCTTATTCAACATCAACAGTTAACTTAGCTAGTGACTGATACAGTGTGAGTGAACTGCTTCAATGCATTTGCAAAATTCACTTATAATCAATGTGCAGATTATGCCATTAGAGCTAAATTAAAGCTTGGAAGGAGTAAGAAACAATTCACCTGGGTTCGTGATTAACATATCATTATATTGAAATGACTAATTGGATTTGATGACGATTGTGGAAATGATTTATGTACTGATTAATATTGGCAATTTGGAAGCACTTTTGCTATTAAGGTAAATTATGAGTCACAGTTGGAGAAGTTTTTCAATGTGTTATATAAAATAAATATGCTGCATGTGCAAAATAATTTAAGACACCATTGTTTGAGATTTTACCTTGACATTTTTCTTGATGATCTCCCGGCTCATCAGCATGCGCCCTTCGGATAAGTCGATCCCAGACAAGGGTACGAGGGTCTCTCCGATGACTTCATCACGGGAGAACCTGTCGAAGCTCAGCACCATGAAGTGGAGGGACAACTCCGACACTCGGGCCAGCGGGATCCCGTAGAAGCTGAAGGTCTCGTCAAAGGCGGGGTCCAGTGTCTTCCTCAGGACCCTGGTCTTCACACGGTGCTTCTTCTCCGGCAGCAGGGTCAGCTTGATGTAAGGATCAGATGTCAGGGACTGCTCATCAGTCGGGGTCAGGCCATGGGCTTCCTGCAGTAAAAAAGTCATCAATCAGTCAATGAAACTATATTGATCAGGAAATGATACTCACAGCTAATCAGAAAGACACACAGTACCTTGATATGGACGATGAAGGCCTTTTTCTCCGGCTGGTATTCCAGGGAGAAGTGGAGGGTCCCCAGCCCAGCATCCCTCTCCTCTCCATGGGGCTTGTCTACAGCCGGGGTGGGTGCCTGGCTGGAGAGGGTGCTGGATGGTGAAGGTATATCACGGTGGTCCATCACCCCAGGTTGTGTGTATCCAGCAAGGGGAGAGGGCAGCTCCAGGTCCGGGGAGCTGCGCACCTTCTGGTGGTGGTGATGAAATGGTTTGGTGGTGAAGTTTCCATTCAGATCCCGTTTCTCCAGATCCAGATGCAGTTCCGGTTTGGATCCGTTTGGACTTGAGGCCAGTTTACCGGTGGTGGTCGGATTCAATGTGGTGGCAGTGTGGCAGTTCCCGTTAACATCAGTTTTACTGGAGTCATTACTCGAGGTGGTGGCAGCCGCAGCAAACTTCTTCTTACCGCTGAGGCTCTCCGGGTAGATGTCGACCCCTTTGAGCATGTGCACAAACTTATAGGGAGGTGTCTTCTGGGATTTGGTGTTTTTACGCTGGCAACAGATCCATGCAAAGGCTGACACAGTGAAGACAAGGCCGAAGACACTCACCACAGCAACACCTACTGGCACTGCCACTGTGGAGGAGGACAGAGAGAGCCGAGGGAGGGAAGGAGAAAACATTGTATTGGTTAGAAATGTCTATCCACATACTGTGAAGCAACTACATGTAAAACAACGGTTCACCTCAACACATTTTATTGTTGCACTGAGGCAACTGGTTCCATTTTGTGACTGACGCAGACTGCAGATTTGAGTCAGATGGAGATGAAAACAACGCAATCTGTTGGTGATTGTTCATATTCCTTACATGGCTACAGTACATCAACAGGAAACAGCTGGTGTATATCTACTAAGAAACCTAACGACATGTCAAATGGTTGAACAAAGAAAGTAACAAGACCTCGGCAACAGCATAAATGGAGAAAAGATTCTCAAATATCATTGTATCATTATTATGATAAGTCAGTCAATTTTGTTGACTAACAATGACACTCCAAAAGGAAGACATCTGGAACATTCTATCCGATATAGAGAACAAATACAGGCATATGTATTACAGCAAATCTAATTCTTATATTATATTTGTTTTGGGCAAAACATCATGGATCACCCTGATCCCACTTGAGGTATTGTATAACAGCACAGACCTTTGTAATAGGCCCTGTGTTATATTTATTTATATTTGGCACTTTTGTCTGCTTTACTGAGTGTCACTAAGACATTACTATGGAGACATTTTACTTGGATATTTGCCACTCAATGCTTCTGTCTTTTGTATGGTGGTGTTGAACTGTGACTCAACAGCAATCATGCTGCCTTCTCATGCAGTCAGTTAATAGGTCAATTTCAATAGAGGAAAAGTGCAGCATTTCCTGCAGTCAAGAGGGCGGCCAGTGGAAAAGCACTCAGGTTAACACCCATTCAAAGAGACAGAGAGAGGGTGGAGAAATCACACATACTTGTGACTTTTTTTGAATGATATGCACTGTAGTTAACTCACATTACATTAGATGTGTTGTTAATTCTGACACTGAAATTGTCATGCTAAAAATAAAAAAACGTGTTTTTGTACAGGAATTACAGGTAAACATTGACTGATCAGAACAGTTTCACTTCTGCCATTTCTGATCATATAAGCCTATAAGTAATTCATGGCTGTTGTATTATTGTAAGGAAATAATGCCTATATTTAAAGGTAAAGGATCCTGGTAGTTGCAGGCATAGTATCCATCTAGTGGATTACTAATCTAAAAAGGGAGGGATAGTCATGCTCATGTCAGTACACATAATTTGTTTTCTCCCTGTCATTAATATTTCACCCCAACATCCTGGGTGGAGTTGTTTTCAGGGCAACAACAACAGACAGATGGATGGAGCCACTGAGCAGCTGAACCGAGGGGACATAGACTGCCTGTAGTAACACCACTTTCTAATATTAATATCATAAAACATGTCACCCTGTGCGCTGTTTCTACTGATAATTAGCTGTCACCTTTTAAGCTAGCTGCAAAATGGAGGCTGTTCATAAACACGTAGTTTTATCGAGTTTGGCAACACACTGGATGAAACCACTACACTAAAACTTGACAAAATTAAATACATTTTACTCTAAAATACCTTTATTGTTGTTGTATTTTAAATAAAGAATGGAAAGAATATCACAAAATATCGCGATAATAAGGCTAGTTACCTTTGAGTCACGCGGAATGAATAACTCTCGCTTTATGAAGATTCAGAAGCACGAAGCTACCATTAGCACCCTCACCAATCACACCTGCGTCATTTGAGGTTAATAAATCGACTCACCGAGCTGAGCCCCTTCCTCCACCATTGGAGCCATGTTCGCTGTCCGAGGTGCTGAAACTCTCCGCCCGCTTTCTTCTCTCCCGGTGACACTGTGCAGTATATCTCCACAAGGACTCGACTTTGATTGTGTTTAAAAATGCAGGAGGTTTTGTACGGCGTCAATTATTTAAGAAACGGCAGTGGTTGTTTTTTTCCCAGAGAGAAGGATGGAGTGTTGTGTTCCTCTCCCTGCTGCTGCTGTTACTCATAGATGCGCGAGTCTCAGAGGCGGCAACACCCCGTTTCTCTCCCTCTCTCTTTCCCTCCCTATTTCCCCCCTCCCTGCCGATAACGCTGAGCTCACCGGTGATGACGCAGTAGTGACGGAGGCTGTGCAAGCAGGACCCCCGGAGTAGCAGCACCACCATTTATGCCAATTCCCCTGATTGATTGTTAGGAAGTGAACGGTCCAAGTCTGTATCTCCTCCGTGTGTGTGTGTGTGTGTGTGTGTGTGTGTGTGTGTGTGTGTGTGTGTGTGTGTGTGTGTGTGTGTGTGTGTGTGTGTGTGTGTGTGTGTGTGTGTGTGTGTGTGTGTGTGTGTGTGTGTTACATCTATTGAAGTAAGTGTCATTTGGCTGATTACTATGCACTGATGTTTTTCCTTGATTGATAGTAATTACAGTAACAGGTTTACTACCACTTTAGTTAATAGTCTTCAGTGATATTAAAGTGACTATTTTATATTGATTGTTGTGCTTTTATTGATACATATTTGTATACATATTTTTACATATTTGTAATTTTGTGTTCGGGATTGTGGGAAACGTTATTTCGATCTCTCTGTCTGTACACACAAACTGAAAGATTGACAATAAAGTTGACTTTTGATTTCGACTTCAGTGTTTATGATTAACTATATACTGTTTATAGTCAAATGTCTTATTTACTTTTTTGAAATGCTGCAGATAAACAGTAATCAGACTCAAAGGTCAATAAGGTAAAACCCTCTGCTGTATGCAAACTGGATGTTAATCAGTATACGCATATAACTCATAATATGATTTAAATTCAATGGGTCTAACTGTGATGTAAAAGGAAAACTTTGTGGATAGGCTAGTCCTCGGCCACCTTCAGCCCCTTGTGAGAGCATCGATGGACCCGCTGCGCCTACCAGCCTGACATCGGGGTGGATGACGCCATGATCTACCTGCTGCAGAGGTCCCTCTCCCACCTGGAGGAGGCTGGGGACATCGTGAGGATCATGTTCTGGGATTTCTCCAGTGCCTTCAACACCATCCAGCCCCCCAGCTGCAGCACTCTGGGAGGGATCACCACCTCACCTCCTGGATCCTGGACTACTCACCAACCGTCCACAGTACGAGAAGACCAGGGACTGCCATTCAGACACCATAATCAGCAGTACTGGGACCCCCCAGGGGACGACAGGGAGTAAAGGGAACTGACGCAGGACTTCACCCTCTGGTGCCAGAGGAACCACCTCCAGCTCAACGCAGGGAAGACCAAGGAGCTGGTGGTGGACTTCAGATGGCGCAAACACAAAAGACACCATACACAAGTCAAAGTGCTCTGCAGACGCATTTTCACAGAAGTCATGCTGAGTTGTTACAGGGGGGAAACACAGGTGTGAATATAACAGAAACATCCTTAGTGTATTACATAGTGTTGTAATACCTGTGTTTTCAAACTGTGTCAAGTGAAAATGTGTGCTGTGAGAAAGGCCTCAAGTCAACAGCTTTAACATCTGATATAATCAAATACTGACCCCTGGTGTTCATAGCAAAGAATGCATTTCCCCTGAATGCAACAAAGGCCAACACAGAGATGGTCACTCAACACATATTGACTCTAAAACACCATGCTTCTACATCAAGCATTGTTTTTATAATGATTTGCTCTCTTTGCTATAGTGTTACACATTTGTCCTAAGACCTAATCCAAACAAATTGTTCTACAGGGCCATTCAACCAGTCAAGTCAGAGTCATATTTGTCCTACGTTCAATGTTGTTGAACAAAACAGTTCTTGTGTGTATGACCTCTTTGTGTATAGGTTTGTATCTACACTAATGGATGTTGGCCTTTCCTGAGAAGTGAAACAGTCACATTATTTATGTAAAAGTGAAACCTAAAAGGGTGTGTCAGGTAGATAAATGAATAACATGCAACATGTCATTAAATTGTCAATCATAACACACTCCTGCAGATACAGACGCCATGGGGGAGTTGCAACAAAATATTGTGTAACATCCTTTACTGTATATTCACTTGGTGTATTTTTTATCTGGATTTCTTTAGTTGTTAGCAAGACACAAATTAAAAGTCTTGACCTTTTGTCAACAAAAAAAATTGCTGTCTGTCACTGTATCACATTTTTGATCAAAGGTCGGCCAACCAGAATAAATCAGGAGAACAAAACAACTTCATTCAAGGCCTCTATTATTTCAGTCTTATGTTTGCACTTCAACAACAGCTACATCTACATATTTTGTACTGGTTTGTCTTTTACGAGTTGTGTTTTGTTTCTCTGAGTTACAATACCTTCACTAATGGATGTCGGTTTGTTCCTATGAAATGGATCTGTCAAATACTATTTCATTGAAAGACAAACTTAAGAGAGGCCTGATGTAGAAGTTCTACATCAGGCCTCTCTTAAGTTTGCCTTTCAATGAAATAGTATTTGTTTGTATTTGTTTGTCTTCATTCCTTAGTATATCTACGGTAGAGATACTAAGGAATGAAGACAAACAAAACAAATGACTTATAGCTAACAGTCATTACTGACACAGTTGAAGTGAACACGGGGCGAGGGCAGGAGGGAATATAAAACATTTTTGGTGAGGCACATTTATTTTACTTCATTCATCATCGCTGCAGCAGCTCAACTTTCAGGTCAGTTTAGACATGTTTACGCACTATAATAACAATTTTAACTTAAAATTACCAAAAATACAATTTTAAAATACTTTTCTTCCTCTTCACTCTGCTGGGTCTGGTTTGCATCACGACTTCACTGATAGATGACAATACACTGGTAAATAACTATTTCACATTTTATTTGAGTTGTTCTTAAGAAGGATCTTAATTTATTTGAATCTGCAGTCTTTTGCGCTAACGTGTGGCTATATTACAGCTGCTGTCAAGCTAATACAATCTGTTTCCGTATGTAACTGCATGTTGATGCTTATTCTAATGATTGATTTCTTTTTTTTTGTTCTTTTTTTTTGGATTTATTCAGGAGATTTTGAGCACAACAGACATACAATACACCTCCTACATGGAGTGAGATTGATACACAGTTGAATACTGTGGAACAAGGTATCAACAAAGAGACAGTTTACCCCCCCCAAAAAAACAAAAAACAAAAAAAAAAACACCTGCTACTGTACTACAAGCTGCATCTTATTGGGG